TCCTCCATAAAATGTGATGCACACATCTGAATATTTGGGTTGAACTTTTCTGGAAAAGTGTTGTAAATACAACTTAACCACTGATTTATAGTCGTGTCCTCTTTTGGAAGGCCAAACAAAGTAGTTTCGCTTTCACAGTGAAACACATACACGTTGGCCTTGAGTGAGCGGTGGCCGGCCGATTCGACGAAGGAGCGTCCGGTGGGCTTGCGGCAACCACATGTGACGACCCCAGGCTGGACTCCGCTTCGTCCACAGTGAAAGCCGATCCGGCGATCCACAGCGCGAAGTTGATGTATTTCCTCAGCGACCAGCACAGATCAGCTCTAGGCATGACGAAGCGGATATCGTCCTCTTTTGGAAGGCCAAACAAAATAGTTTCGCTTTCACAACGAAACACAGCGTCTTCACGACATGGCGGCAGCAGCAATACTACAGCAAGAATAAAAGTTAAGCCTTCTTTTTTTGCGTGAACATTTGGGCGGCGTTATGCAAATCTTCCCACATCGTGATGTAGACATGTGGGGGCGTGTTAGAACGAGCCGTTTTAGGTAGGCGTGGTTGACTCTTAACTTTTATAAAGAATATATCTTTGGATTTGAGACTTTAGTCTTAACTCTCTTTAATATTAGCATTACATAACATTTCAGCATCCACTAACTGTAAAATGCAGGGCTCTTTGAAGAAGAAGAAAAAAAAGTTAAATATATATATAATTTCAATGATGATATAAAACTCTAAAATATGCATGCAAAGTGACACACCGAGCCTTTCCAACATTTTGACATGCTGTACTTTACTTCACACTACCTTTCAATGTTGCTGCTTCATTTCAATCATGCAAACTAAGCTCCCTTATTCCACACAGAATTACTCACCTGAGCTCCATGTGAACTCTGCAGTACACAGATTCATATCACAAATCAATTAGATACGCCATGTCTGATGCCATAGATGCCTCCTTGCTGATGCAACGGGCTGCGTATGTGTAATTTCGGTATGTTGATTTCATTTAGGTAAGCAAGATTCATTTAGACAAAGATTAACTAATGTCATTATGATGAAAGTAGACGTCAAGGTAGCACTAACTCACAATTGTGCTTCACTATACAGTACAAACATCAGCACTTCCGTACAAAAAAAAAAGAAACACTGAAGATGATCCAAAATAACTGCGAGAACATAATTTTTTTTGAGCAAACAAGCCTCCCAGGAAGAGTTATTTGCTGAAGTACGATTACCCACAGGGCTTAGACTCATTCCCTCCACACAGAGATGCTCATGAGATATACAGTATATTACACGCCTGCGGTGGGGCCATATGTGCAGTGTTCAGATTACAAACACTGCAGTAGTTCACATACAAACTTACTCATTCAGTCCTGATGTGTTAAAAATCAAATCTGTGAGAATGACAAGCTCATGTCGATAAACAGCTGGGACTGCTTTCATCCTTAAGGGTGAAGAGTAAGAACTTCAAAATATCATATTAACATACTACTGGAACTACACTTGACAGAAGTTTAGTGTGCAGTACACAGTCCATGCACAATTATTTACTACACATGAAAAAGTAGCAAGAAAAGCTCATGTTGCTATGTGTCCGTTTAATCTGTGTATTGAGATTTTTAAAATAAACATTATATAGCAGATTGGACATAATTTTAGATCTTTTTTTTTTCTTTTTTTTTAATTGTGCTACAGTTTAAACACACATCTACTGTATACAGTCATGCAATATTTTGTTTACAATACAGCCATTATATTGTTTTGGGAGTCATTTAAAGCAAATTAAATTGATCTCTCCTTATTTTTTTCTTTGCTTTAAGATAAGACATGGAGACGCGGATTTACATGCAAATTGAATTTCAAAAAAGCAGGTCATTCATTTCCATAAGAACAATGGCAGCAGTTTTCACGCAGAGAACTCCCTCATCTCTCTTGAGTTCAAGTGATTGTACAGACTTGCTTACATCCCTTCAAGTCTTTCATGTGCAAAACCCTGAGGTCACACAACCATAAATTTGTTTATTGTTCTAAACAGCTTCTTGCAGCGACTACAGCAACTTGATACTTAAAAAAAGACTAGCATGCGATCATGGGCAATATTACATCGTATAATGCTTTCCTGGAAACTGAATGATGCATTAATGGTGATACTTCTTATCAATTAACATCCTCTTTTTGCTTTTGTCTTGAGTATATTTTCTTTCTGAGAAGATGAAAATATATTTGATGATAATAAAAGAGGCTTGAGCTACTTGTGTCATATTTGATTATGTCTGAATATATTATAAAAACCGCTGCACAATTACAACAATCTGTAGTCAAACATGATGTTAAAGACATAGAATAAATTACATTTTAAAACCGATGGAAATGATCTGCCATAGAATTTGTGCCCTATATGTGGGCAGCAAGGCAGCTTAATAGATCTGGACAATAAAGCTACTGAAAGGGACAAGATGTACAGATTCAGATTATTGTCACTGGGCTTTATTCTGTTTCTAATAATAGTCAGTACTTCT